TTTTTTTTTTTTTTTTTTTTTTTTTTTCCTGATTCTTGTTTCCCAGGGTTGTAGAAATTTGGCATCATGATTTCCTTCTTGGATTAGAAGAATTTTCCTAATCTGTTTCCCAACTTTTTTTTAATCGACTGTTTTTTTTTTAATGTAATTTTCTTAATGTTTATTTTTGCGAGAGAGAGAGAGAGACAGAGCGTGAGCAGAGAGGGGTAGAGAGAGTGAGGGAGACAGAATCCAAAGCAGGCTCCAGGCTCTGAGCTGTCAGCACAGAGCCAAACACAGGGCTCTATAGAACTCACGAACTGTGAGATCATGACCTGAGCCAAAGTTGGATGCTCAACCGACTGAGCCACCCAGGTGCCCCTAACCAACCGGGTTTTATTTTGTTCCTTGTTTGTTTTAACCTCGGGGAAAAGAAATTAGGCATTCTCAAGCTTGACATGAGAATGTTGTCGTTTATCCTTTGCACAAACTCGGTAAAACGAACAAGGAAACTTCTCCATCCTATTTTTGTGGTGAGAGAAGCGATGGAACTCTCATTTTAGAAAAAATGAGCGTGTCTAGGAAGTATAGGTTAAGAGTGAGTTTAGCAGGAAAAACTGTGGTGGTGTTTGTCAGGCTCCAACCTTAGTCCTTAACTGGTGGTAAAATGGAGATACCCCTTGGGCTACATGAGAGGAGTTTGAATTCCATCATAGGAACTGGATCAAAGGAGTAAGATTTCGGAGCAGTAACACTGTGGTCCCTTTAGATTCCTGTAGAATAGGAATAGTGGCCGTGGTTTCGTTCACACTGTCTGCCAAGGTGGGCGTTTAGTGATGGTTTGGGATGTCAGGATGTGGAAGGAGTCTTGTGTTTAGGGCTCTCCTTCTAAAGTTACGTTTTAAAGACTTCAACACCCTGTGCCTCATGTCTCCTGAGTACGTGAATAGTGAAAAGTACTTACGACTCGCAAAATGCATCTTTAAAGATAAAGTAATTTCATCTAGGTTTAAATAGTAGACAGTGCTGGCCACGAGTTGCTTTATGAAGAGTCCATTTGGTCCGTATGCCTCCCTTGCTTCTGTTGCTGACACCCCCCCCTTTCATCTGAGAGGCACTTCGTGATTTCTCCTCCCAGCAAATTTTTACGCATCGACAAATGTCCAGGGCAGGAAACGAAGGCCAAACAGTCTGAGAAAATTAACCCTTGTCATTTGGATACGGGGGCATTAACAGTTCTAAAGACAAGGTAAAGCTGGATCTCTTTTCTAGGGTACAACTCCTCTAACCAGCAGGTGTGAGAAGGGGAAGACTAAGAGAGCATATAGACCAGCTTTCTGGAAAAACATAGAATATTTGTTCTTAAATGTATCCTTAGGTGCATAATCATAGCTCATTCTTCTGTTCCCTCTTGCTCACGATGTGTATGTAGTGGGATCATAGGACTGAGCTACTAAAGAGTTTTCTCTTTCTATAAAACTGTTAAGGAAGAAAGAATTCTAAAGAAGAACGAAAAATAAGAGAGACATGAAATTCACCGTTTCTTCTTTCCCTCTTCGTCGTTACACGTAAACCACGAGAAAGAAATCATGAAACCGTTCATCCGTCAGCAGTGGCTCAGTATCTAAAATTGGGTTGCTTTCTCAACACCGGCGGTCGAAACTCGCCTGATTTCGAGCCCTGACTGTTGTCGCAAAAGCCCCTCGTCCCCGCGTGAACGTGGCAGACTTCACAGATGTGTCAGATAGAGTGAAAGAGTTGCGTTTGAAAGGCAGCTGTAAAGAGCATGTGAGATGAAGGAAAGCTTTGAGGCATTAGAAAGTCAAACCAAGAAGAGAAAAGTAGGTCCCATTTGGTGGATGGCAGCTATGGAGAACCCGGATGGTTGCCATACAAACCCCTCAGTGTCTGTGTAGTTAGTTTGAGCTGAGTGACCGATTTACAGGTAGGCGTCAGTGTGTAAATGGGTCTCTCTCTACCTGTCTTTTATATTATGTATAAATGTTATAGATCATCTGTATTCTTTTACATATAGCTCTCTGGTCATTCCTTTCCAGCTATTCAGAATTGTAATATACTTGAAATGTCATCATGGTCGTTCGTATGTGTTACACACATTTGGTATCTGTTCTAAAGGTTAAAGAGGGAGACTTGAGCCAGATTCTTTTTGCCCGTGAACACTTTTTCCGTAAAGTCAAGAGTCGCAGGAAAAAAACGTTGGACGACATCGTCGTTCCAAGCATTTTATTTGTGGCTGTCCAAATGAATTGGCTGGAAATTAGTCCCAAGCTGCTGCTCGATCCCTTTACCTGTCACGGTTGTGTGCAAAATGGAGGGAGTACTAAAGACATTTTTCGTGAAACATAGCAGATATTTTGGTAGTTGGGTTCTCCTGAGGATTATTTATTCTTAGAGGTTTCCCTTATGAATAGACCAGTCAGGCCAGGCCACTCTCTGCTTCAGTCAACTGCGAGGTCAAGGTCAGTTTCGGGGGAGAGCAACCTGGAAGCTGGCTCCCTTTCCAGCTGCCTCGGATTGACGCTTGCTTTACAGGTAGATATTCCTGAGATTGTCTGCCTTTAACCTCGAAAGAACCAAATCAGCAGTTTTCCCGGTGTATTTCAGGGTGACCCGTCTGGCTTTGAATATAATTGCTCATCTCTTCTCTCTCTTTTCTCCCAATAATAAATACTGGCAGAAGGATATTGTTATTAAAGCCGGCACAAAATTGTTAGAACTCTGAAGTTGTTTGTTTCAAAGGTCAGTATGAGCCAGTTCATTCTTTGAACCAAAGAGAGTTTCTCACCCTTGTGGCTGTTTTTGGGGAGAGCCTTAGATGACGGCCTATTAAAAAGACTACAAAGTAAGTTCTGTTATCTCTTACTTCACACAAAGACTGGTGTCCAGGATCAAACCGATTAAAACGTCCCTAACATCCATTCATCGGTATAGCGATGGCGAAGGGTGTGGTTACAAGGGATGCTGGGCCAGCCTCGTGAGGATCTGTTCCTGGTGCCGTTCCTAATGACACTTTGAATGGTGGCCTTTGTCATCTCTGTGAGTCAGTTTCTTCCTTCAGATTTGAGAGGGGATGACAGAGGCCTCCTCCTACTTTCACTGTGGTCCTGTTGAGGGAGAAGCTAGCACCTTCCTGGGGTTTGGCTTTATGTAATCAGCAGTTGGCACCAAGGCTTAAGTTCTGGTGGTTCGGGTGTTGGTTCCATATTTGAAAGACTCAACGAGAAGCGACAGCAGATACAGACTTGGAAACTATGGCAACCGTTTCCTAGTTAGTCTTTGCCCATAATCTAAGGGTCAGAATCTTGGTGGCAGAAGTGGGAGATGGGACAGTTACTTGAAATACCGAGGTGACAAAGAGTCCGGTGTCGCCTGGGAGTTGCGACCGTGGTCACAAGCAGTGAACAATTGCAGTGTCCGCTTGTAGCGGCTGATGTTTTACCATCCTTTAATCGTATTTTGTGTATCCATTTAATTTTTTTTTTAATTTTTTTTTTTAACGTTTATTTATTTTTGAGACAGGGAGACACAGCATGAACGGGGGAGGGTCAGAGAGAGAGGAAGACATAGAATCTGAAATAGGCTCCAGGCTCTGAGCTGTCAGCACAGAGCCCGATGCGGGGCTCAAACTCACGGACCGTGAGATCACGACCTGAGCCGAAGTCGGACGCTTAACCGACTGAGCCACCCAGGTGCCCCTTTATATCCATTTTAGTATCGTCAGGTGCAGCTGGGAATTACATTCTGTATCATTCACTGTTCCTTTCCGCCATGTAAATACAGTGTAAGCGATGAAAGCTGGGGCGAGGAAGGGGGAGGAGGCAGAAGGGGCCGTACGAGTCGAGAACATCGTCACCCTTTGGAAACGTGGGGGCTCGGTCTCCGCAGGGAGGCCGTCACATGTGACCAGCCATCCTGGAAAGAGGCGAAACAGATACTGAGTTTAAACATTTGATCCCAGATGCTCCTTCGGCCCCGTCCCTCCTGAACCATTAACTGAAGTTTGGAAGGCGAGTTTTGTGTGGACGCCTAAGGGCTTCCTTTATTTCGTTGCTAGATGACGCCCAAATCCAAACGGAAGAGTATCCATAGCCGGATGCTGCGGCCTGTTTCCAGGGCCTTCGGTGAGTTATTTCTGTGTCGGTAAAACACCCTCAGCGGGGACCTCGGGCCGCTTCGGGGCCGTTTCCCAGGGATGCTCGGGGAGGCAGCGCTCAGAAGGGCAGTCGCGTGGTTTGTGAACGCATGCGTGTGCGATTGGGTGAGGGGCCTGACGTGACCTGTAGGAATTCCGCAGCCCATCCGGAGGCACTCAGCTTGGGCCCGGGGCCCTGCTTCGTTTCAGAGATGGAGTTTGACCTCGACAAAGCTCTGGAGGAGGTGCCCATCCACATCGAAGACCCGCCCCTCCCGTCCGCCCGGCAGGAGAAGCGGAGCTCGGGGCTCATCTCCGAGCTGCCTTCTGAAGAAGGGAAGAAACTGGAACACTTCACCAAGTTAAGGCCGAAGCGGAATAAGAAGCAGCAGCCCACCCAGGCGGCGGTAGGTGGACCGGGCCCCCCACCCCCCACCCCTCCCGACCCAGGGGGAGCGCGGGGGACGGACCCCCCGCACGACCTCCAAGCCCGTGTCTCCGCTGGGCGCTCGGCCGTTGGGGAAACGATCATGCGGTCGAGCGCCCAGGGCCTCGGAGCGGAGTTGCCCTTGGAAGAAATCCTTAGAAAAGTCGCGGTCCCGTGCGGGAGCCCGGTGGACTCCGTCCAGCAGCCTGCGACGTCTGATACGGACGGGGGGCAAGGAGGCGCCAAAGAACTGGTGTGTGACTGACTCGAGGGTGCCCACCTCTGCCCCCCCCCCAACCCCGGCCGCGCCTGCCTCCTCCCCGCTCACCTGCCCAGCCCGGGTGGCGAAGCGGGGTTCGCGGGGCAGTGTGGAGACCACACTCCGTGTCCCCTGCGGGACAGGGTGGGACGGTTTGTGCCACGCAGCCTTCATGTAGCTTACCCCGTGCCCCTCCCGGGCGCACGTCTCCCCTCTCCTTTCCAAGGTTGGCCCCGGGGTCTCTGTCCCCATCTCCCTTCCCCTGCGGTCCCCCGGAATCTCTGCCGTGTCCCCACCCGCCTCTGCGGCCGCCCTGTCTCCGCTGACCTAATCCCCTTCCGCCGGGTCTCAGTGGTTACTTGACAAAGAAAAGTGCATCCTTCCCGAAACCACTTCCCGTGGGCTTGGTGTCGCCACGGGCTTCTTTTTCAACCCCCCCCCCCCCCATTCCGGTGACGCCTTGGACTGTGTTACTTGCTGCCTGGGCCGTGTGGGCAGAACCCGGGGTTACAGCCCGTGGCTGACGCTGCCCTGTCTGCTCTAGAGTCAGATAGTCACCTGCCTCCTCAACGTCAGCGTCCCAGAGCACCTCGGGCTCAGGCCGTTCAAAACTGGGCGCGTCTCTCCCTGTGAACCCGCCTTCCACTCACTTCCCTGTCCACCATGGCGCATCACAGGTGACGAGTCAGGATATGATCCTCATGAGACCCAGGTCCCGGTCCCAGCCCAGACCTCCTCTGCCTTCCTCCTCATCATCCCTGCCTTTGCTGCTTCCCACCCAGTGCCTCAGTCCTGCAGAGCTGTAGCCTTTTCCTCGTCACTTCCCCGCCCCGCCCCACACACCTCCTGGGCTGACAACCACTCATCTTTCAGATCTCCTCTTGCCTCAGTGTGCCAGGAAGCCCTCTCGGTCTCTACGTCTGTGCTCCCGTAAGGCTGTGCTTGCAGGACTCCAGGGGAGGCCATTCTCACAGACCGGATGTGCACAGTGCCCTGCCTGAACAACCTGCCATGGAGGCCGTGGCTCTTCCAGTGCCTGCTGTTCATAACTGTTAGAGCTGCCTTTCTAGCTCTTGTCATAGTGTTTTCAAAGCACTCTCTCCTCCTTGTCTCTAAGCCTCATGTAGGAAGGCAGGTAGTTTATTACCCTTGGATTTATGCTCAGTGGTGAGTGTGGTTTCAGAAATAGGGTGGAGGGTCAGCGGTACTTAGAGGATGCCGTGTGGATGGATGACTGGAGGTGTGGACGGGTAAAGGTCACAATAATTACGTGCGCGGTCAATCATTTATTCATCCCTGCTCAGGCTTCTTGTGTTGGTTAATTTCTCATTGGAATCTGAAAAGCATGACCTGGTTTCCCAAAAAAACAAGGAAACAGCTTTAGTGCTTTGTTTCCTGATTTACTTGATTTTAACTTTTTAGTCCACTGTTACAGATTCTTAGAATACACTTTTACAAATCTTATTTTTATTTTTTTTAATTTCGTAAGTGTTTGTTTATCTTTGAGAGAGAGACAGAGTGTAAGTGAGGGAGGGCAGAGAGAGAGGGGGAGACACAGAATCCGAAACGGGCTCCACGGGCTCTGAGCTGTCGGCACGGAGCCCGACGCGGGGCTCGAACCCACGAACCGTGAGGTCATGACCTGAGCCGAAGTCCGACGCTTAACCGACTGAGCCACCCAGGCGCCCCGAACTTTTTTTAAATGAGGCCTTTTTAGATAGGGGAAAAGATGACCTCCCCCACTCTGGATTCGAGGTGGTTACTGAATAAACGGCCCCTCTGTGGCTCTCTCCGCGTAGAGAGTCATTAGCAGCGTAACCTGTACGCAAAACGGCGGCGGAAGTGTTTCCTTGATGAAGTCAGTGACCCACAGAAAGAGAATATTGTGGACGTATTTAAAAACCAAGAAGGGGAGGGAAGACGGCTGAGATAGGGTCCTCGTGGAGGGACGCACCAGGCATACGCCGCGGAGGGTTTAGCTTCGGCCACGGCGGGGCCTGGCCGCGTGGGCTCGGGCTGTCCCATCCTGGGAGCCCTGCCGGGACCCGGGCTGTGTCCTGAAGCGGAGGGCTGTGGCCGTGGCTCCGAGGCCATCTGGCTTCTTCCCAGAGGTCTGGCAGGTGAGAAACTGGCGCGGCTCGCTTCCCTTTGGGCTCGCGGCGAAACTGGACGAACCTCGGATGCCACAGCGCTTGCGGTTTTCAAAGTATCTTCCTGTGTCTCGAGGCCGCGACATCCCCGTTTTCAGCTGAGGATGAGGGGCTGACGGTTTGTCTTCCTCACTAGCGTTCCGTAGCGACGGTCACTTCTGTTGCTGCTTGGTTTGCTTTTGCTGGGACCGAGGAGACTCCGTCTGTCCTAAGCCTGTTCTAACTTTCTAGCGCTTGCCCTTGACCTCGGATGCCCCTACGAGCCTTCCTGAGTATCCGAATGCTCACAGCCAAGGTGTGGCTTTCCTTTTCTTTTCACTTTTAGCATTTCTGATGCCAAATGTGTGGGTTCCCCCACCCGGCACCCCCTTCCCCAACTAATTCTTCGACTCTGGACACCAACTGAGCGTCCTACAGTTCAGCTCTGGCACTACCTGGAATTAAGCTGGACCCCACAGGTTAGGGGCTCAGGGGCACCCCCACTTGAGATACCAGTCCCAGCGTGTCATCTGTACTTCTGAGCAGCTGACTGTAAATTCTAGAGAGGGTCCCACACGCTGCTCCCCAGGTATGATAATTTGCTAGAAGAATTCAAGAAGACACTTTACTTACTACTACCGGTTGATCGTAAAGGACGCAGCTCAGGGACAGCCACATGGGTGAGATGTGTAGGCTGAGGTGAGAGAAGCCCCTCTCTGGGCAGGTCACCCCCACACACACCTCCGTGTGTCCCGGGGGCTCTGCCAACCTCATCACTTGGGGGTGTTCGTGGAGGTTCCGTTAAGTAGGCTTGGGCACGATGAAATCGTTGGTCGTTGGTGACCAGCTCCGTCACCAGGCCCTTATCCCTCCCCGGGGTCAGGGATCGGGCTGGAAGTTCTAGCTGTCCTATTATGTGGCTGGTTTTTCTGACAACCAGCCCTTATCCTGAAGCTGCCTAGGGGCCCCCAAGCTTTTTATCGTAAACTCAGAAACGGTTGGAAAGGGCTTGCTCTAAGTATCAAAAGATGCCCCCATTAGCTCTGTCACTCAGGAGATGGAAGGATTTTAGAAACTCTGTGTCGGGAACCAGGACAAAGGCCACATATGCACTCTGATAGCCCACAAGGCTAAGTTAAATGCCAACGTGTCCCTTTCTGTGGGGCCAAACTTGGATTACTGTGTCGTAACTTTGGTTCCTGTGCCAAAAATACACAAATAAATATCTACATAGATATGAAGAGTAGACAACTATTTTTAAAAAATAATAAAAATTCAATCTTTGGTCAAACTACATACAGTGCTTCTAAACTACCAGACATCTTAGGAATAATTGATATAGACATTTTACCTGTACATTTTAAGTCTTTACTGAACCTCTGTAAAGACAAACCAAAAAAAAAACACCCCAATTTATTTTAATGGCGAGATAAAATATACCAGTTTCTTCTTTTTTTGCATTTCATTAATGTGTATGTAAGAACACTTCAACATTACATTGCGGCTGCTTCGTCTGTAGACTTGAATCTCGGAGCGTAGTTGTGAGAGACAGGCGTGAGCTGGAGCTCTGGCCGGTTCTCCCTTTCCCTGGCAATGTGTGTCTGGACATGGGATCTTTCTAAGCTTGCTTCTAAAATACCAGCACTGGGGCGCCTGGGGGGCTCGGTCAGTTCAGTGCCCAACTCTTGATTTCGGCTCAGGTCATAATCTCATGGCTCATGGGTTCGAGCCCCACATCGGGGTCTGGGCTGGCAGTGTGGAGTCTGCTTGGGATTCATATTCTCTCTCTCTTTCTCTCCCTCTCTCTCCCCCTCTCTCCCCTTCCCTGCTCACACTCAAATAAATGCACATTAAAAAATAATAAAATAAAACCCTGCCCACATTATTGAGCTGTCATGAGAAAAAATGGAATAAAAGTATACAGTCCTTTATTAAATGTAAATATTGTTCCTCAGAACTAGTATTCCCATTTTATTAATATTAACTGTCTTTACTATATTAATATTTGCTTTCCCCTTTGTCTCCTGTTCCCCTTCCCTGACACTGTAGTGGAGGAGAAGAGAAGACTGTCCCTAGAAATGGATGCGTATCACCCTTAGCCACTCTACTTTGGTGACTTTTTTACTGATTTCATTAAGGAGCAAGCCAACTATTTTATAAAAATTCACATTCAAAAATTACGCCCCTAGTGGAAATGACTTTTAGAGAGTCTGCCTCGGGGCTGGGAGCTTCACGTGGGTAAACGAAGAGTGGCGATGCCATTTTCCCAGCACCAGGGTGTGCCCGCGTACCTGTGGAAGGGCACGACCGGTGGGAGAGGGAAGGGTAGTGGGGGTGGATATTAGGACAAGTCCCTGGTATTTTAGAATGTGCCTCTTGCTCACATCATAGTCCGACGCGCGCATGTCTGGCCAGGGGACCCCACGGAGGTCATTCGGGGACCCAGGCTGCTTTCGTTTACGGTTCTTCCTCGTCTTTGGTCCTTGGAGTCCTGTCCGCTCAGCCGGAGGATGACAGGAGGCACTCAGGTTCACGCCAGGAGGTTTGATAGGCCGGTCTGACAGTGATACCGTTGGCCAGAGCTTGGCCGGG